GCTTCTGAGCCAGTACTTTTCCTTTCCAAAGGAAGAAAAACACTCTGGGTCTTTCCCCACGCTCCCTCTAGCCTCCACCAGAGAAGGAGCCTATTGGACAGGTTCAGGCTCGTGCCTGCAAACTCGGAGGGATGAATTCTAAGTTGTTTACAACTCACCCAGAGACCCCGGGGGTGGGAAAATGTTACTTTTGTTTCTCTTTTTGAAGTGGAGAAGGGAGGCTGTAGGAAAATCTCCACTAAAATGCACATCTCTCACTGTTGGGGCCACAATTCCCAGAAGCCCAGGTTCCCAGACTGCCCAAGCACAGTTCCATACCCAGATCTCCAGAGCCCGACAGCTCAAAGTCATCCGACTCCAGCTCGAGGCCCCCAGCATCTTCATCGTCAGGGAGGGCTCCAGAGAAGTATCTGCCTTCCAGGAAGTGCTGGTGGTCTATGACCTCAGTCTCCCGGATCTAGAAGAAAGGAGAAGGAAGTACCAGCCTACAGCTCCATTTCCCTCCCTCGGGACACTCTGGAGGTTGGGTCCCCCAGAACCAAAGCAAACACTCAGGCACAGGCAGAATTACAGAAGCCTTCGGGCCTGCTGTATAACCTTACCAAGTATCTTTACCATTCTGGGTTAATAAAAAATAGTTCAAGTGGTAACAAGTTAATATTTGTAGGTATCGCTTACTGAGCCACCTCCAACTCCTCAGTTCTTTATAGTAACTTAATTCATTTTATCACTAAAGGCAGTGGGCACTAAAGGCTTTAAACCACTCTCTTTTGGTAGCACAAGTTGACAGACAGGAGGGAGGACGAGTGTGGGGACAACCTGGCTTCGGGGCCAGAGGTTTCCATGCACACAGGCATGCCCAGGACATACGGCCTAGGGTCCCATGACAACAGCTGATTCCCACATGGAAGGGAGTAGGCTACTGGCCCTGCCCAGTCAGGGACACGATCCCCCACTGAGTCACACTGGGCTGACACAGGGCTGGTTCACTCACACCCCAAGACAGCCACAGGGCACAGCTCAGTCCCAGTGACTCAAAGGCACACCTCCAGTATTCATCAGCTTCTCTCAAATGTCTGTTGTACCAGCTCTGTGCAGGGCACAAAGACATAGATCCTTGCTCCCTCAGACCATGTCACCCATTTCTCAGAGACCCAGCTGGCCACCACAGAGTCTAAGGTCAATTCCCACTAAACAACTAAGAAGCGCCCCCCCCCTTAAACACCACTTATTCTGCCCCCCCCCATCTCCTAGCCCTACTGGGTATTAAACAAAGCTTCTTCAGGGGCATAGGGTGCACTGAGGCGTCCACTGCCCTTCCCCTAGCCTCTGGACTCAGACTACTGTTCCTGCAAACAACAGCCAGGTACAAGGGTCACTGTTCCACTCCTACCCAGCGAGCCCTCAGGACTGCAGGGGATGAGCCTCTACTTAGAGGTTCAGAATAAAAACCTCTAAGGCCTCGGAGGCCCTTTTCTCTTTTACAGAGAATTCTGACGGTAGTCAAACCAGAAACAAGTAGCGACAACCCTAAGGCCACACACAGAATTCGGGTAGAAAGTGGCTGGATCTGTTTCTGACAGCCCCAGGCTGTCTTTCACCCAACCAAGGGGCCGCAGTGACACTGCCATGATAGTGAGAAAGAATGCTGGTCTATCCCTAACACCCGTGATTAAGTGGCAGGAGAGGTCAGGCGAGCAGCTTGGGAGGCAGGCTACTCCTTCACTCTCTCTTCCGGGGAGAGGTGGCAGGAGCTGACTGTGCCCTCTTATCCACCCCCGTGGTCAGGAAACCAGATTCTGGGAAGGGAGCTGGGAGGAAGTCGGGGAGGCATCCCTCTGTCCGGGGGTGGGGAAGTCAATGCAGAGCGCTTGGTACGCGTGGGAGTGGGGAGCCAGCAGGGGTTAAGCCCTGCTTAGGAATGACTTCATGACTCCGGAATCGGGAGCTGTAGGGCTGCTGGTACTGGAATTCCAGCCCCCGCACAGGGCCTGTGCCTGTGGCTTTGGTTTGGCAGCACAGCAAGAGGGCTTTTCTGTGGTTGTACAAGAGCCCTAGATGTCAGGCCACGTCCACCCCACCCCCCAACACACACACACAGCCTTTGCTACAAATTCCCTAGGGCTCAAAATCCAAAACAGCAAAGCCTCCTCCATTGCTTACAGTGTGCCAGGCCTTAACACGCACGCACGCACGCAGCTGGGATGACGTAGACCCTTCTGGTAGGTGTGGAAACCAAGGCTCGGAAAAGCAAATTATTTCTCTAAGGTCACACAAGCAGAAAGTGACCAACAAGATCAGCAGTCAGGCATGAGATCACCTGGGCTTTTAGCCACAGACAAGGGAACACATTTGTGCTTATAGCTACCAGCCTGCCCTAGGCTAGACGGGAACACTAGCCTAGGTCATGTCTAAACCAGCTAGGGGTTGGGGTTAGAAGAGAAGGAGGGAAGGAGGGAGGCTGATGTTGATACTTTTGACAACCAAAGCCTGAAAGACTGGTCAAGGGATGTTAAAGTTCAAACTCCTCAGGGCAAAAGCTGAGGTTTTTAGCCGGGGGAGGGGGTGTGTGGATTCCAGCACAGGTATCAGGCCTGGAGACCTTCCCTACCCAACCTGGCCTCTAGGAAGGAGCCTTGGAATGTTAAGTCACACACCGAACCTCCTTAATTTGTGAAAGTGTTCCCGGGTGTTTCAAAACAACCCAGGAGATTGGAGATAAGCACGTCCATTGGCTTTTAGTAATTACTTTAATCTTCCATTAGAAAAATGAGGTCCAAGAAAGAAGGCTGTAACAGCCTGACGTTGGTAAAACTGAGGCTGAAGCCCAGGTTTATTCCCGGGTCAGCCAGGCCCCTTTGGAACACCTGGTATGCCCCTATCCCCTACCCCTTCATTTTGAGACAGTGTCTCACGAGATAGTCTTGGGATAGCTTGGGATAGGGAGATCAGGCTGGCCTCTGCGACTCCAGTGCTGGGCTTAAAGGAGTGTGGCCCCCTACCACGTCACCTTTATGCTAAATTCCAGAGCAAAGAAACCATTTGTCTGAGATCACACAGGGGCCCAGGGTCAAGCCAGGATCAGACCCTTAGGCTCAGAGGCTGGAAAGCTCTTCAGAGGTGGTCTTAGAGGACTGAAGAGTTAACCTTCGACCTCTTCAGCACTTCAGAGGCTCTTGGACACGACCAATTCAGCCTCCTGGAGCTCAGAAGACATCCTCTCTTGGACCCTTTCTGGTTCTTCCTCTGCTCACCATCTTTAACAAGAGGAAAAACTCGAGTGGACCGACAGCAGCCACTGAGACCAAGATGTCACGACAGAACCAAGCCCAAGGGGATTGCAAGCGATGGTTTGTGTGTAAGGCTGAGAAGGTACCAACACCCCTCCCCCCCTTTTCCAACAAGGTCCATTCAGTAGTCTGGGGTGGCTCTGAAAAGCAAGGCCACCCATCAGGCAGGACCAGCCCTGCTCCTGACTACAGATGTGGTCTGTTCACCTCAGCTCACCCCAACCCTGCTCAGGAACATGTGTTCACATGGGTATGTCCACACACGAGCATCCCCTATGGGTCATCAGAACTCATCTGTTTCCTGTCTCAGACATACAACAGAAGGTTGTGGGGTCTACACTCAAAGGCTCTTGCTGGCCCTGTGGATATCTGAACTAATGCTGGCAGCTAGAGTCTTGGATTCTTCCCCATGGCACCTGGGGAAAAGAACAGAGGTAGGTATGGTATTGTTTTATAGGAAGCAACACCTGCCAACAGAAGGGCTCTGAGGCCACTGAGCCCAACGTATCGTTTTATAACCTCTGAGACAGATTACTTTGCCAAGGTCACCCAGGCAGCCAGCAGCAAAGCTGGGCTTACAACTGAGGCCTCTCAGTTCCCAGGGTAAGGCGGCTTCCCACCCCTTCCTGGAGCCCTGGCTGTCCCCAGGGTTCTCAACAAATGCACAGGCTGTTGCATGAAGCTAGGACAAAACCAAAAACAACACTGATCATATCCCAAAGTCTTACAATGTTCATCATCCCAGGAAAAGCATGGAGCCTGGGTGACTACAGGTTACAGAAGTAATCAAACCACTCTGCACAGGCTCAGAGTCTACTTCACACAATCGTGAGGCGGTCTACCTGGTTTGCAGGTGAGAAAACAGGTTAACTGAGCCATTCATCCAAGTGTCACAGCTAGAAAGGGGGACACTGGTTAAAACCCAGGATCTTTCTCTAGACCATGCCCTAACCACAGCCAGGTTTCTCACCATCACCCACTCTTTGCCTCCAGCCTAACGACAGCACACTGGCCAAGCCAGGGCTCCAGGGCACCCCGCTTCCCTTGCCCAGGAATAAACAAAGGTGAAAGTGATATTGCTTAAACAAAGGAACAGAAACTTGGCTGGAGTACCAGGGAGGGGTTCAGGATCAGAACTTGGTTAACTGTGAACTAATGAGAGCCTGCTACCTGCCTCCTCCCCAGGGAAGGCAGGGTCAAGGCCACACTTGATCATGAATTAAGGAAGAGACCACAAGCATGACAGTGGAACAAATACATTTAGGGGCAAAGGAACAACACCCTTGGGCACCAATAGCTGGCCTTTTCTGAGTGGTTCTGCAACCCCATTTCCTACAGTGGGCAAGAGCCACAACCACTTCTATGCGTCTAGGAGTTTACTCTGGCTTTTAAGTCTTCAGTTTCCTCTTTTGTAATCAGGGCTGGTAAGCACTTAGCAGAGGGATGAAAATCCACGGAAATGTAGCCCGTGTACAAGTGACCCAGTGGGTGATCTGGTGCATAGCAGGTGCTCAACACACGGTGATCTTTATTAAACCCCATTAGTTTTCCTTCAGGCTGGGGGAGATGAATGCTTAGCAGGCCAAAGATGAAACTTGCAGAGAAGCAACTGAAGGGCTGGGGAGGCCCTGACATCAAAGGGGAGCTGCTTCTGCAAGCCAAAGAGGGGTATGACAGCCAGCCTTCTACTTCTGAGACCAAAGATGCCCAGCTGAAAAGGATTTCTGTCCAGTGTAAGCCATGAGCACATTATCATAAGCAGAAACTCTATTTTTCCAGGAGTAGTGAAAGGCACTAACCAAAGACATCTGAAATTCCTGGTGACCTCAATCCTTTTATTTCCTAGCTTGCCTTGAGGGGACTCCTGCCCCAATCTTGAAGACAAAAGGAAGTCACCTCAATCTCCAGTCTGGTGTCCTGGTACCTGAAAGGGTTAATTAAGTAAAGTCTGGGAGAGTGGGGGTGGAGTGAGGGTTCAAATGTCGGCTCTGCCCACTTCAAGGTCAAGTTACTCTGAACACAATCACCCTGTAGAGAGCCAGACCTGGCACAGTCAGCAGCCAGCTTTTCACCAAGCCCCAGGGCAGCCCATTCCCACAAGAACTCCAGGATCATGGGGTACCAGGCAGGAATGAAGGGGATTGGTCACAAGCCTCAGGACAAACTC